ACACCCCAACAGGCGGTGCAAGTATGCTGCTACCGCTATGTCGTGGTGGTCCACAACGTCGTCTTCCCCGACCCGCGGGGTGGCATCAGGCAGGAAGCAACGCTGTAGGTAGGCAGCGCGTCTTCATGCCCATGAGGACCAGCGGCCGGTGCGCCGGCACCAGCCTCATCACTCCACAAACTTGGGGTCGCCAGCGGCCGCGGAGGTCCAGCGGCTGGCCAGGAACGCGCGCAATTCGCCGGAGGAGTTCCTTTGCAAACTGTTGGAGCGGCTTGTGGACAGGTCGCACGCTCCGCGGAGGGCGCAGCCGCATGGACGACGCCGAAACGGCGCGGCGTAGAGCGGCCATTCATTGTCGGGCTGCGATGTGACAGGCCGTCGCCGAGGAGTGGCCAGGGCGGCGGGCATACGGCGAGCCACCCCACACCAATGGTCGGCCAGCGTGGAAACAGGTCTGCGATTCAGAGTCAGGATGGATTGCCTCGACAAAATGTGTGGCTTCCGCAGTCTGGGCGAGTTTCATTTTTTTTTGGCGCCCCTGGCCACTGGCCCCCTGAAACTAGCTACTTGCGGTCACGCAGTGGTATCGCAAGCTTTTTGGCTCAACGTTCGCTTTTTGCTGCCCCCTACTTGGCGCTTATCGCCCTTCAACGCCTGGTGCAGGGTGGCTCGATGAGCCGCAGGTCGAGATCGTGGCCGCCGCGCCAGCCGGCGCCAAAGCCCTAGCCAGCGCCGAAGCCCCAGCCGACGCTGAAGCCCCAGCCGACGCTGCAGCCGCGGCAAAAGCAAGGGCGGCAGGGGAGGTCACCGTGGCGGAGGTGGCGACAGCCAAGGGCAGAAAGGCAAAGGCAAAGGACCAGCGCGCCATGGACAGCGTGGAGGACTCCGAGCAGGAGACCAGCGGCGGGTCTTGGAAGCAGCTGCGGCCATTGTGGCTGCGCAGGGCCACTGAGAAGCAGCCCGAGGGCCGACAGAGGAGACAGCGCCCCGGATCTTCACCGCTCGCGGGCCATGTTGCCTGAGGGCCGTGGCTCGAGGCGGCCGTTGGAGTGGCTGCCCCGGGTGAAGCAGACGTTTTAGAAGAAAACCGGGCTTTTGCGGCGGCGGCCTTAGCGCGCGCCGGCCTTGTGCCAGCTGCCGCCCACAGTGTGAAGGGTGGCGGGTGATGCCGGCCGCTGCGTGCGCATCCCCACGTGCAAGGCCAGCCCCAGCGCCAGCCCACAGGCCGACCCAAAAAGCCACCAGCCCCAGGCAAGTTCCTACGGACCGAACCCGGGAGCGAAGTAAACGGGATCGTCGCCGCTGCAAGCCAGCAATGCGCGCATCACACTTTGCCGCCAACTGCTCGGCAGCCCCGCCGCCGAGATGGCCGGCGACGATGCAGCAGCCCGCAGCCCACGCCGTGTTCGCCCATCTCCCCGCATCCAACTGCAGGGCCGTTAGGCTACACCATCCATGCCACGTGCTCTGGGACCACCTCGAACAAAGCTTCTCTTGAGCCTTGAGCCAAAATTCTTTGTTCGTAGGCAGCTTGCAGCAGGGCCCTCTGGCTGGGCTGCTACTAGAGAACGAAGAGGACATACAACTGCTACACCAGCGGCGCAGCAACTGGTCACTGCCAGGGTGCCAGACACGATCGTGGCAGCCTGTTTCTGGGCTGGCTGGTTGGTTTTCAAAGCAACGTTGAGCTTTGTGTCGCAACTTCGATTTGAGCGGGAATCAAGGATGACACATGGCTGGCATTAACTCAAAGGTGATGCGAGAGAAATGCGTCACAGCGCGTTCGCGCGGGCATGCGGCAACATGTGACATGCGAAATTCCACGATGCAACTTGTAGTTACACTTCAAGGGAAGTTTGCAGGCACTTGTAGGTTTTTGTCTCACCCTGCCCCCCCCCAAAAAAGATCAGCTATTTTGCAGCTTGGCAGTCAGGCTTTGAGCACTGAGCAGGTCAAGGCAAACAAAATCGGAATCACACTTATGAGAAGAAACCAGTGTCTTTTTGATGCTTTTTGGCTTCAAACGAAGAGCCGGCTGGCGCAGCAGAAAGCAAATATCTACAAATTATGTTACAGGGCGCGTGCGTCCCCGAGCGGCGCTGCGTCGGCTTCGGCGCATATGGAGTCCGCTTTCTTCCGTCGCCGCGAGACCTGCCTGCACCAACGCGCGCAACGCTCTCTCGCGGCATCCTGGCAAGGCTGGGCCGGGATGGCTTGCCTCGCCGACGTGTTGGGAGGCTCACTGGTTTGTTGGCTCCGCGCGCCCTCCCTGTGGCGCGCCGGTGGCACTTCTTGTAAAATCATAATTCGCAGGGCTTGGTCTGCATCATCAAGACTTCCTTCCAAAAAGCTTCTCAGCCCATGAAGCACTGTTTGTTGGAAGGTATCGGAGGGATGTAAGAAAGGCATTTTCGCGCATTTTGGCGCCAAGCGCTGCCGGGCGTGCCGGCGATGCTGGGCCCTTGCTTTACAAAACGCTATAGATGCCGTCACTGCTGTGCAGCGCGTTGGGCTGTTGTTCTGTCCGTTTTGCTTTTGCTGTGGCTGGCTCGCGCGCTGCGCGGTCCTTGCTTTTTTCCCGTTGGTTTTCGGGCCTTCTGGCGCGCGCGCGCGACCCCAGCCACAACACGCTGCTATTTACGGTGTTTTGTTGCATTTGCGTCTCCGGGCTGGCTTGCGGGCTGTTCTTTTTGGGCTGCTCTTTCTGGGGCTTTGGCGCGCGCGCGCGCGCGACCCCATGTCAGCCTTCTGGGTTGGGGCCCGGTTGGGTGGGGCCCAGAAAGCTGGCATCCCTGGCATCATCTGGGGTTGGGGTGGGCAACATTGAAACATGCATAACCTAACCAACCATATCATAGCACAGGATACGCTTCTCATACAACAAATATGACACGATATTGTATAACTTCAAAGAGGCGTAGCCGGCTAGAGGCCGCAGGCCCAGATTTTTTTAAAATAGGAGTGATAGATAGACAAACAGTTAGATAGATTGATAGATAAAAGAAAAAATCGCCGACTTCTGTTCGGCGTGGTTTGAAGCTTCCCCCAAATCCCCGACAAAGGGGTGCGCGCCTGTGACGCGGGTACCTGGCAATTTCCGCACGGGCTGCTGGGAGGGCTCGAATTGCCCCTTGGTCGCCCCTATGCTGCGGGGAGTTTCGGTGCGGAAAGGGTGGGTCCTGTTTTTTGTTTTATTTTTTGTTTTGTTTTTTGTGTGTTTTCTGTGGGTCTTGTGTGGGTTGCGTGCGGGCGTTGGGACGGTTTGGGTGGGCTTTGGGTGATTGTCTGTGGCACGGGCCAGTGCTTCGTGACACCTAGCTTGACGGAGGGGGGCACGCAGGGGTGCAATGTCGGCGGACTGAGCCGGAGGCTCCAAAGTAGAAACACGCGGTCTTGCGCGCACTACCAAACCATGCACATCTCGAACACAACTCGGTTGAAAGAAACAGCAAGGTGAAGCAAATATTGGCTTATAGACCATCCATATGCGTATGTTGTAATATATTACATATATAGACTTCAGAAAGCTTGCCCACTTTATACTTGCTTTATCTTGCCGAGTGAGGCATCACCCCTCTCTAAGGTTCAGCGCAGGGGCTCTCGCGCACGCCAACAAGCCAAGGATGTCCAAAAGAACCGTCTCTACCTTACTTTGCGACGGCTGTTGCTCAAGAGATTTCACATTTCACTGAGCGGCCAGCTGGCATGGGGCACTTGCCAGATCCCAAGGATGAATGCAAACGAACACATGCACGAAGCGACGAAGCACCGGCAATCGTCGCTCCAGCCGCCGCACCAAAGGCGCTGGGACCCTTCCGGGCGAGAGCTCGGACAGCCGCCTGCGCATTGGCCGGCGGGCGACCACTTTGCACAGCGACGTCCCTTACTTGGATTCGCTGCTTCTTCGCGCGCTCTCTCGTCCGCGTTCACCAAATGCGGCAGTTGTTGAGCGAAGGCAGCTTCTGGCTGTTTAGCTTAAGCGCGTATGCCGCGCCAAGTTGCTTTGCAGCTTTGCAGTTGCTGAGCCCACGCTTCCTCCGGTGCCCGGAAGCTGCTTGGCCGGGCTCTGCTGGAGCAGACGGTTCCCGCTGCCGCTGCAGCTGCCGCAGCCCGGATGGCGTCCCTCAAGCTCCAGCAAAGGAGTTGTAGCGAATTGTTTTCTGCTGAGGCTTGTCGCTGCTTGTTTTTTCTCCTGTGTCTGTCCACAAGCTGCAGGCATTGTGTTTCGCAGTCCGGCAAGCCTGTCGCAAGGGTTCGTTTCGTGTTTGCAGTGGCCCCCCTTTCAGCACGGCACTAAATTCTGAACTTATGGGACTCGCGCTCCGAAAGAACACCGCTATTCGAGACGTTTATCGCAGCAGGAGCGCCCGTGGTCTTAAAAATGCCGGAGCTGATGTGAGCAAGAAGGGGCTGGACCCGGGAAGAAACCCGTTCTGGTCAAACCATCGCTTTTGCAGGACCATGAAGTTGCCATGCTGGTGCAAACCGCACAACTGCAAAAAGCGTTGAGCACAGTTGTACTGAGATGCCGAATTGGGAGAATACCATACTGAATGCATTCAAACCTATTCAAACTGGCCGCCGTGCGCAATTCTGTGTTGCTTCTCCGTCGACTTTGTCCAGGGAAGTGCGGTAAACGAAGCGCTCTGTCCACAAGATTGGGGTCTACGGTGCCGAGGCTGGCACGCTGAGTGTAGTTTCGTCCTAATGGCGACAAAGGCTACGCGCCAACGCGTGCAGCAAAGACCGGAATAAGGTGCGCAGCTGCCCATGTTTCTGCTGGCGCTTCTCGCATCTATCACAACGCCGGCTGCCAGTTTAGGCGATTGGCCGTTGTACGGTAAGTGGCCTCCAGTCAGCGCAAACTGCACTGAAGTCATCCGTGCGACCCGCCAACAAGCAATGCCAAAATTGAGGGGGACAAAGTAGACGGAGACACTATGAAGCTGCAACTTTCAGCCACTTCCTAAGCAGGTGAAACCATTGCAACGCTATTGGAATCACCGTACGTAGGGCGGATCGTTCAACGCCCAGTCGATATTTTTCTCGTACCTGGCATCCCCGAATTGAGGATCTTGAGGCATCGGGCACATTGCATGCAGGACAAAGGCTGTGGAAGCGGCGCACTCGTCGATTCGGGCACACCACGAGAAGTCAGTGACGAACCCACGGCCTAGAGCACGAGAGCTGGTCTTTGAGCACTGGAAACTAACTCAAAATGGCTCCAAAGCTGCCAGTATATACAGTATAGCCATTTGAGCTTGACACTATGGGCTCTGCTTTGATAGAATCTGTCTGGAGTAGCTAAGACACCCGCACTGCATTGCTTCAAATAAATCAGGATTATGAAAATACCTGGGCACGGTGCTTGAAGCAAACCAAAGCATAGCCACCTGCCAGCCCCGTCGCAATCCATGACAAGCAATTGCTGGATTCAACGATCTGCGAAGGCATATGCCGTGAATAGAGACAATGAGAGCAAGCAAGTTTTAAAATACACCTTGGAAATTTGTTTGGATTCCAAAACCAACCCTCCGACTTTGCTTGCTTGGTGCCTTGTCGCCCATGCTTGTCTATCTTGAACGAGAACTGCAAGCAACCCGTGATTACTGACCATGATGTCACGCTATAAGTTACAGTGCCGCTCAAGTCGATCCTCTAAATTGACCAAGCCACGTGTCGCACGCTCGGTACACAACCTCTTTGAACTTGCCAAACTCTAGGGGAAGGATGCCAAACCTGGCTGACGACTTGCAGCAAAATTGCACCTGACAGCACTAGATGCCAGTAGCCAGGGTTGCCCAGTGCAGTCGTCTGCCGGAAAAACCACCACGGAGTCCTCGGCAATAAGATTGTGAAATGGCTGTGGCTCAAAAAACCAGTACCAAAATGGAACCCTGGTAAGTGGAAACATGGACCAAAACCTGCGTAACCCCTCCTGTTTAATTTTGAGCCACACCCAAATAGCTGTGGCAGTGATCTTCCGTGTCCTTCAAGCCGCCACACAGGGTGACAATCGGGATTGTGCCGTAGCGCTGGGCACACATCTGCCAGCACTCGTGAAACATGCAGCAAGTGGCAAACATCTTCCATGGACTCAAGCCGTGCCAAAGGGTTGCAAAACCTGACACAAAGCTCATGGAAGGTTTGACCTTGCCTGCGGCAGGCCACACGGCTCATACCTGCAGGCAACATGCTTGCTTTGCTGACCTGAGAGTGAATTCAAGCCTAGCTTGTGACCTCTTGGTGTCCAAGCCTTGAAGGCATGAGAAGAAAGTTGCTGCCGGCATACCTGGCCGTGAATGATTTCGCAGGGCGCTTCCGGCAAAACCCTCAGGCAGGTCTGACACAATGTGCTCCAGCGTTGTATCAAAGCTTATCCTGTGTTGTGGTGCCAAGGCCAGTCAAAGCAGACAATAAAACAGGTTGTTCGACCATGAAGCATTGCGGATGCAGTCGGGGAGTTGCAAGCAATGCACAGGCTGTCCCAACAAATCTTCCAGGATATCGACGGGTCATCTCCTCCATTCCTGCAGGAGAGCAAATTCAAAGCTGCAACATCAGCCTATTCCCACAAGCATCACCATATCTGTCGAAGCCAGATCAACCTCACAACATGGGCCTTTCACGTAGACCTCGTCTCCATTCCCCATCATCAGCACCTCTAAACAGGATTTAGGAGACTGCTGTGCTTCATGTTATAATACTGCAACTGCAGCTGTAAGTCAGTCTTGTAGGCGTTGCAAGTCCATCCGCTGATCTTAAAGTGACATGGCTATGCCGCTATGCAAACGTGTGTTCCGGCCCGACAAGAAGACCAGTGCAAGTATCGTGCTTCCTTGCTCCAAGCTATCTCAAGGCTAGCCAGCCGGTCTCACCCATACCGCAGATGCTCCCCAAACACGTTGCGTCTTAGTGCGACTCCCACACTGTGCACATCGAGCAAGCACCTGAATGTGCCCGGTAACGTTGTTGCCGGTATCTTCCATCATCCATTCAGTTGCCTCCGGTCTCGCTTGATTTGCGTGCTGCACAGCAGCTCACGAAGGCTGCGCCTCGAGAATGATGTCTACGCCTTTCTGCGTTGTAAGTCTGCCAACAAAGGATACCTCAATACAGCATCCGCCACAAAACTCTGGCAAAGGCTTTCAAAGGCAACAAAAGCTCAGCTATCTGCCAAAACTTTTGTCTCATCAATCTGCAAGCCCACCAGCTCCTGCAACACAGCAATTCGTCCAAGGCCACACTGTGATTGCTGCCACAAGTACTTGTCCTGCAGCTGTTTTTTGCAGGCCGCCTCTCAGTTAAGTGCAAGCTGGTGGTTGACGCGTCCAGTTCCGACTTCACGCACCTTCCCTTCATGCAGGTTGTCAAGGTCGTACTGGACAGCCAAATTAGGATCTGTCCTGGAGAATGTCCGCATTGTGGGCTTTTTTGTGCAAGCGTCAAAACATGAGGCACTAAATCCACACTCCAATTGGCCGTAGTGTGCGTCATGTTCCAAATGCATTTATCCAGAATCTACTTTAGAGATAACAAAATAATTTTTTGATGGACGTTTCTCCAGCCGTCATCTGTCATTGTGACACGTTGGCATACTATCCTTGCAAAGTAGGTGTCTCAGAACGCACATGCGACCTGGGGTTCCACGTGATGATATCAATCCCGTTGAGGATACCGCCAAGGAAGAACCTGACAAGCAAATGCCAAACATACAAGCAAAGCCAAGCACCTGCAAAGAATCTAGCATGGCTCTAGCTGGCTGCTTTGACTCTGTCAACGGATGCAAACGGCCAATTGCAGCGAAGCAGCTCTTTCTGCTTCACCAGGTCTTCAAGCCGAAATCCTCCTGCAGCGTCGACATTTCTTTCAAAACGGGTCCTTCATCAGGCCTTCTGGAGTCTTCATTTCTTCGGCATAGCCTGAGCTGCTGAGAATGTCTCTTCTTGTCTCTTCCAATAATGTGAATTCAATTTGCTGGCCTGCCGAAACAGTCAATAGCCGGTCACACGTCATCAGTGCGCCCTGGCTTTGAACACATGGAATGGAATCAGCAATATTGTGAGTGATATGCATGCTTCAAGTGTGTGTGTGTGTGCGTATGTGTTGTGTGTGTGTGTGTGTTTTGTTGTGTGTGTGTGTGTTTTGTTGTGTTGTGTTGTGTTGTTTTGTGTCGAGTTGTGTCGTCTTGTTGTGCTGTTGTCTTGCTTTGTTTTTCTTCCTGTTTTGTGTTGCTTTGTATTGTGTGTGCTGTGCTTTGCGTTGTGCGTTGGTTGTGTGTGTCTGTTTGTGTCTGACTGTCTGTCTGTCTGTCTCTCTGTCTGCCTGTCCGTCTATCTGTCTGTCTGTCCGTCTATCTGTCTGTCTGTCTGTCTCTGTCTTTCTGCCTGCTTGCTTGTCTGTCAGTGTCTGGGTCTGTGTCTCTCACTCTCTCTCTGTCTCGCTCTCTCTGTCTCTCTGTCTGTTTGTTCGTTTGTTTGTGTGTGTTTGTGTGTTCGCTTGTATTGTATGTGTGCGCGTGTCTGTGTGTAGCTCATTGTTGTTTGCTTGCTTGGCTGCTTGCTTTGTGTCTCGTACTTGTTCTTGTGTTTGCTCTCGTCGCTGTTTGTTTTATTGCTTTTTTGTCGTGGTTTGCGTGTTCCTCGTTTGTTGTTTGTTTGTTTGATTGATTGTTTGATTGTTTAATTTAAAGTTTGCTGGCTTGCTTGCTTGCTTGTTTGCTTGCTTGTTTGCTTGTTTGTTTGGTCCTTTGTTTGCTTGTTTGCTTGCTTGTTTGCTTGTTTGTTTGTTTGCTTGTTTGGTCCTTTGTTTGCTTGCTTGCTTGCTTGCTTGCTTGCTTGTTTGTTTGTTTGTTTGTTTGTTTGTTTGTTTGTTTGTTTGTTTGTTTGTTTGTTTGTTTGGTTCTTTGTTTGCTTGTTTGTTTGTTTGGTCCTTGCTTTGCTTGTTTGTTTGTTTGTTGGTAGTTTGTTTGTTCCCAAGCTATAGGGATTCTAACTTCGAATAAAGAGGGGAAGTGATTTGCGTGATTGATGGGCTGGTGCTAGGGGTGTGCAGTTTGGGATGCTGGTGAACTGTTTGGGGGCAGGTGGTGTTTTGGGATGCGTGATGTTTGAGGTGCTGGTGACTGTGGGGCGCCGGCGTGGGTGCATTTTGCGAGATTGAAGGGGGCATGCAGTTTGGGGTGGTGCAGGTGGTGTTTTGGGATGCTGTTTGGGGTGCTGTTTGAAGTGCTGGTGACGGTGTCGGGTTTTCGCCATTGATGCTTTGGGGGTGCTGTTTGCGGGTGCCGGTGCGAGTGCATTGTTGTCGAGCTTGACGACAGTGTGCAAGGGGGCATGCAGTTTGGGATGCTGTTTGGGGTGCTGTTGGAGGTGCTAGTGACTGCGCGGCCAAGTGCTGTTTCGGGGGGTGCTGTTGGAGGTGCTGGGGCACAATCCTCAGGCATATTTTTCGCCATCTGGGGTCTATGCTCATGTAATTTGTGTTTGCGTGGGTGCGCGCTTGGGGGGGTACCTAGATGCGTAGGTGTGGGCAAGTGTGGGAGTTTAAGTGTGTTTGAGGGGCCTAGATGTGTGAATAGCTGTGCGCGTATGGGTAGGTGGGGCGGGTGGGTGAGTGGCTAGGAGTGGAGGTTGACATGTGGGTGTGCTTTATGTTTGTGTTTATGATTCCGCGCTTTGTGTTTGTGTTTTCTGCGCTTCTGCGCTGACACGCGTATGTATCTCTGCATGTGTGTGTGTGTGTCGGTATGCGGTGTGCATTGTGGTTGCGATTGTTTGTGTTGTTGTTTGCTTGTGCTTTGTGTGTTCATTCGGGTTGTGCTTGCGTTTGAGGTGACAAAGCAGTGTTTTGTTAGTTGGTGTGTGCTGGTGATTGTGTTCTATGTGATGTGTTTGTTTGTTGTCATTGGTGTGTTTGTCTTGTGACTGCTTTGTGCTTTGTTTTGTGCTTGCTGTGTTAGTTTGCGCTTGGCTGTGTCTCTGTGTGTGTGTGTGTCTGTGTGTGTCTGGGTGTCTCTTTGCGTATGTATTTGATCTCGCGCCTTGGTCAGATTCCACACGTTGCCATCATCTCCATGGTATGACCTTCAACGCATTTGCACCTACTCCAGTCAATCTGTCACTAGTCTAGTCCAAATAATTCTACTAGTGCGCTCAAACGCTTGTCCCAGTTGTGGCTCAAAAGCAATCCATCAGGCCTGATAACATGATGAAGCTGCTACCTTGCTTACTTAAACGACAGCACCCGTGCGGCTTCTACCACAAAGGCTGATCTTCAGCTAAATTGTAATGCGCTACTCTGCTAGCTGCGACAATACGGGCAACATCAGCAAATCGGCATGGCCTTTCCCACGGCGGATATTCGAAGATCATATGCTCATACGCACCAGTGCCGTTGAGACCTTGCCGCAAGAGTTCGGTTGGCTGCCAACAGCGCCTTGCATTTTTGAGCACCGCTGTTCCCTACTGCGCGTGCCTCAAATATGGCCAATTGCAAGCAAACATGGATTGACGCAACGCGCAATGTTTCACCGAACTAAACACTGTTCCTGCGTACTGCCAGGTTGTGCAGTATGGACTGGTTGCCTCAGGCCCAAGGCACCGACCAAAGTCATCAATGTCAACATTCTTAATAATGATGGGGAGCGTGCCCTGCAACGGCAAAGGCTTTTTGCAGCAACGCCTAGCTGCTGCACACCCAATCTCACTGCCTCCGGATTCGGTACCAGCTTGTTGCATGGGTAGATGCCCTGCAAAACCATGCGCAAAGTACAGCCTGCTGACCACAATGCAGTCTGACCGGCCTGGTAACCAAAGTTGTGAACAATGAAGATGCACCGGGACTCACGAAACCTGGCACAACACACAATCAAATCCGGCTCAAAGGCTGCATCAAAGCACTGTTGTTTGTGCAAAGTCGGCCGCAAGCCGCGCCAGCAAAAGTCCAGATTTGTGGCCCCGCGGTTGGCAAAAGTGAGGCATTCTTCAATTTTGGGTACTACCGGAGGAGGGCTCAGCAGCCCGGGCGCATGCTGCCTACATGGCCTAGGAAGGGCGCAGAGCTAGCGACCTCATCGCGATCGTCCGTGATCGGTGGCTCGAGAGGTGCATCAACGCGGTGGCCACCCTATGCCGGACTTGGCGGAGGATCGCAGCGTGCGGCTCGAGGAGTTCACAAGGAATGGATTGTGAGTAGATGCTGGAAGCGACAGCGACCAAACAAGAAGGGATTTGGGGGCGCAGGCACCCAGCTCTGGGCGCGCAGGAGGCAGTGCGCTCAGGCCCATGTGGGCCCAAATGCGCAGACGGCTTTTCGCAGATGTTTCGCCGCTGGTGGGACTGGGACAAACGTAGTTTCAGACTGTGGCCACATAGAAACAACCTTCCGTCCACCTACGCATGTTGCTGTTTCGAATGTCTGGCCAACGTTGCTTGTTCGAAGATGGAGCCCTTCGTTGGATGCTCCGGAGCACAGCTTGATGTCTTGCGCAAAACGCTTGTTTGCTTTGCGTTGGTAACATTTTCGACCGGGACAACTCGTTTATATTTGCGTCAAATTGCTCGGCTCCGAGGACGGCATGCAGGGGAAACCAGGGAAGTAGCAGCGTTGGGATCAGAGTTGTTGCCAACCACAACTAATAGAATTCCACGCAACAGAAACATAAACATGGTAAACGTCTAAACGGGGCTCCCTAAGCTCCTTGCGGTTGGGGATCTTCTTCCAGCTGTTGATGAGTCACCCGCCACAACGCCCACACGTCGCTTCATCAGCGCAGGAAGTTTTTGCCTGGCGCCTCCACTGCCTTTCGATGGCGAGTTGCTTCCCCACGAGGTCGAATGGTTGCGGCACAGTTCCCAAACGTCATTGTCATGGTCTGTCTTTTCTGCGGGATGCTCGCAATCCCGCCATCCGTTCTCCACAAAGGCGTTGCTGCCCGCCGGTGCTTGCAAGCGTTGGCACTTCATGCGGCTTGCTGTGATAGGCGCAGCAGCAGCTGATAGTGGATCCTCGGGCTGTAATTCTGGAGAAGGTGGGTCCTCTCTTCTGCGCCGACTGCCTCAGGATGTAGGCCTCAGTTTAGCATTGGAGGATTTCAGCGGCCAGCTCACATTCCCAAGCCGGTCTCGCGCAGCGTGGAAAACTGCTCATCCAATCCTCCCCAGCCACATAGATCTCCTCCCCCCAGTAGTTGAGCTCCTCTTGCCAGCTAATCTGGAGAGCCGCGCTGCGAAGTTCTTCAGCGGTCCCTTCTCCCTCTTGCGGGCACGGTGTTCGTCAGCTTGTTTACAATGCTGGGCGCGTTGTGGGTGTCCAACCACATGGCACATGCATTTGGTGCGACTGATTGGTAACCGTTGATGATACGACATGTGCGCCCCTCCCTTTTTATCGCTTTTCTTCAAGCCTTTCGGGTCACATGTTGCCACCTTCCGGTCTGGATCTGCTCACGCGCAAAGAATGCTCTGAAAGATTCTTAGTTCATATCGATTCTTTGTGTCACCTTACTCAGCGATTCACGAGCACAAGCAAGCAGCCAACTTTGGACAAGGACCAGCTGCTACATGATGCTACCTGAAATTCGTCAATTTCTCCTGGCACTCACACGTCAAAACAACCCAGCTCGAGACTGCAACCAAAACTGGCATTCCTCTGGCTTGGCTGGAAGACTGAAGGACTCCATACACGAAATGCGCGGCGAATGCAAAAAACACACAAACACATTGGCGCTTCTGATTGTGGGTATCACTCGCTCGCGAACCTGAGTCAATCCTTGGAAAACCACGAACGTTCACAACGCCCGGGACCTGGCCTGTGCAGTGGTCGCATTCGATGTGTCAAATAAACCTGACATGTTGCAGATGCAAGTGGTGATACGGAGTCTTTGCTGCAGGAATGCTTATCTGTGGGTTGAGCATTTGGAAACTACACGTGTTGCGTTATCATCATGAGTGTGTGGCAATGAAAAACAGGCATGACTGGTGCCGTTGGTCCATAGGCCCACTGTGGAGTTCCCTGCCAGTGGAAAATAATTGCACCTAACCACGCAGGTGCGAACAAAGCCCCCTACACACTCCAAGGCTGGGACAGGCAGAAGGGCGCTTTGCCAGTCATTTGCGATGAACATCACCTCGGCCGACTTTGCACAGGCGAGATCGCGGAAAACAAAATCTCGATGTCAACCTGTCGGCTCTCGTCTTACATCGTCTCACGGCATCTTCTAGCAACGTGCTCTTTGCTCCTTGATCTCCAGTGGCGCCCAGTCACCCGCTCGCCGTAGGCAGCTCCGCCAAACGCGCAACAGCAAGGAGCCTGCTCAGAGCCGCTCACACAGAGACACACAGACACACCCAAAGACACACAAAAAACAAACAAGCAAGAAAGCTGGAAAGCAAGCAAACAAACAATGAGTCAACCAAGCACTCAATCAATGAATCCTTCATTCCGGCGAGAAAACCCAGAATCTTTCAGTTTAACACATGAGGCGGGAGGTTTCAGAGTTTATTCGACGCGTTTCTATGCTTCCGGGCCACCTGTCGTCTAGTGTTTGATTGATTGAATGACCGATTGCTTCCTTGCTTGGTTGGTTGGTTGATTGATTAATTGATTGATTGCAAGACAAAAAGGTGGTAAGCTTTCCTCTGCCTGAAAGTCCACCGAAAGTAAACAAGCAAGCGTACGTGGCACAAACAAACAGAATCTGTAATCCACGTGAGTTGCAATTGCTCGGCCTGCTGAGGCCCATGCAACAGGGTGGATGGGGGGTAGAACGGCTCTTTTTGCGCGCGTCGTGAACTAGGTGCAGCGCAACCTCAAATTTGCCTCTGGCCCCTCGCTCTCTCCGACCCTGCTTCGGAGTCCGCGCAACAAGTGTTGTTTATGTCCCTTCGTGCTAGTTTTACAAAGTGTGTGCTTTGCTTTGTCTGGAAATGTCTGGAACTTCAAGCAAGCCTTTGTGCCACGCGCCAGCTTCTTGAGCTTAGCTTGCCTCCCGCCTCTGAGAAACTGACACAAATCCGTGTGTGCCTCTTATGCCCTGCTTCAACCCCATTTCGTTGGCGAGATGAATTGCTTATTTGTATGTGCTATTGAAACGGATTACGCCTCTGTAGCTCCCGGAACTTATATATTCTGCCTGCGTAGGCGTTCAGCGAATTCAAGTCATCAAATACCATTACTGCGGACAAGTTGGATGGGAACAGAATGGAAGTGCGTACGTGCGAACTTCCTTACAGCTGCGCTGGGGTCAAATCATGGACCAGCACGTAAAGCTGAAGAGAGAAACGGGAAGTAACATAAGACGGACACACTGTTAGCAGAGCAGCGATGGACAAACACTGCTTTTGTTTGTGAAAGTCGCGCAACGCCGTCGGTAAGAACAGGATGATGCGCATCAGCACGCGCGGGCTGGAGGAGTGTAAGAGCTGTCCGAATGCATAATCGTAGTAAGAGTGACACCAGGATTTAAACAAGTCTCGACCTCATCAAAACATGCGTAAGGCATTGGATCGTTGAAGCCGCTCTCTCTTTAAACCAAACAACACGCAATGCACAATAAGGTCAGGAAGGAGGATTGTCAGAAGTCCAATACTACTCGAAAACATGTGACCGCCACCGGTCTCTGCATCTCCAAGCCAGCAACTCAAGGTGCCACAACTCAAACGTACACCTGTAATACTTGTCCATGTCCCGTTAACCGCCTATTTCAGCCAGGAGGCCCAAGGAAGGTCTCAATCCAACAACCGCATTTGCACGTGCATCACACTAGCAGGCCTCCAACGCTGCAAGAGTGAACAATGCAAAGCGAAACAGGTTGTCTGCATACCTGTCACAGGCAGAAGGCCTGACAAGAGAGCTAACACAAGAGCAAAGTGGACAGCAGAAAGCGGAAGGGTCACTCAACACCCTCCTGCGCATTGTAGTATAAACCTTGGTTTCGCAGTGCCCTGCAATGCGCAAAAGCACAGTGCACTGCACAACATCTTTTCACACATGATGTCTGGAATCCACAAAACATGGCAAGACAGCACATAACTATGGCGTTGGCCACCGGGTCGATGATAACAGGGATGATCAACAAACACATAATCGACACCTCCGAGCAAGCTGTGCCACTTTCTGAACAAGAATGCGGAATCCCCTATGTTAATACAACTGCCCTTAACGCACTACTCTTACAAACGCATACTTTGGTTTGCATGGTATGTTCGGTGAGCGTGCTATTCTCCAAACCGCACAGAAGAACGCACTTCTGCCAAAACGACCTTGTCAGCGAAGTTTGAAACATCTATCAGCCACCGCAGCAGGCTTGCCGTCAGTCTCAGACAGTATTCATGCCGTGGTAGACATGCGATCCTAGCCTAGCCGAAAACCAGCTGCTCCCGACATGGCCTTTGCTTCCTTCAGCATTTAAAGGTTGCCACTGATGAAAATACCTTTGCAGCATTTCATCTGACCAATCAAAATTGAACATGTGTGTGCATGTGTCATAAGAACATCGCTTCACTTCATGCTCCCATCCAAACAGCCAGATCCTCGGATGCCAATGAGGCACATCGCAGTCATGCAGCATATGGTGTTGCACGCCAGTATCCTATTGCATTGGCACTCGCTTTGCCGAGGGCGAAACGTCGTTGAGCACAGGTAAGTACAGCCCGGGTAGTCGTCGTACCTGTTTGGCGACATGAGCATCAGAGACGCATTTTGAAGGGACAATGATACGCCGGTTTGCACGTGAAGGATGCGATACCAACACATGCCCACTCCCTGGCACATTGGACTGATCGCCATGGTGCGATGACCCCTCCCTGCCAGTTCTAGGGCCTGAGGCAGTGTGACCGAAAGCTGCCACAAATCTCACAAATCTCACAAAGCTTTCGGTGAGAACAAGCTGAAACTGCTGAAACTGTATGATCTGTGAAGATTTTTTATAAACTGGGTGTTGTGTTACGTCACAGTTGCTGCGGCGTGCGGGCGGGCGGTTGGCGAGTTTGGCTGGCTTCGCATGAAGCAGCACGCCGCCAGTTTGGACAGAACGGTCCTTGCATTTGCATACACCGCCCACCTACGTTTCCAGGAGTGCGCCCACCTGCGTTTCCAGTTGGCAGGGGCTCTAGCGTGCGCCTGCTTCCTGTTCAATCTGCAATGTTTGCGCAATTGGAAAGTAGCCAATCTGCAATGTTTGCGCAATTGGAAAGTAGCCAGCAGTACCAGCCGAGTCTCTCAGGCCTGTCACGGACTGTAAACCTTGTGCTTGTCGGTTATGCTCACATCACTTTGCTTGGTTGCCAAGCAAAGCATCCCAGAAGACTACCGTCCCACCTGAAGCAGCAGTTTTAACCGGCATGTTCATGTCAGTCAACTTCAGCGGAGCAGGGTCATGAAATCTGCCGAGGTCATTTGCTTGGCACCGGACCAATGAAGCCGTGACCAGTGCCAAGCCGCCAGACTTAGACCTCATGGTCTAAGTTCTGTTCAAATGTTGCATCGCAAAGGATGGCGAGGATGACAAGACCATCAGTTGAGGACAACTGCGCGTGGAGAGAGCATGGTTGCAAGCTTCTGCCGTTGCAGCCACGCGGCCAAGGGCTGATCTCACTGGTCACAATTACAACTGGCACATTCAGGTGCTTGCCAATGTACCTCTCCAGGCTTCAAGATGCCAACGCGCGCTCGTCTCAGTCTCCCTGCATGAGAAAAAAAACATGCATGCGGCACGAAGGCTCGGTAATGAGCTGCTCCTCCATAGCATCTTTTACCAATTCTTCCTAAGTCAAAATGCGAGAATTCCCACTTTCATGCAAGAGTCCAAGCCTTCAGTTCAACAACTTCGGCTTAGTCCGGCTTAGTGCTGAGCCATGTCAACATTTCTGAATACGCTAAGAGAGCCTTGTCGACTCAGCTGATCCTCGGCAGATGCAGTCACGACTCTTTGCACAATGCTGAGAAGCCTATCCCACATGTGCTCGAAAACATGTGCTCGAGTTCTGCACCAGTTTTTTCGATCCAGGTCCCTGGAAGGAAGCATCGACATGATAGTCCTGAGAGCAAGTGCAAGAGCAAGTTGCAAAGCATTGGACTGTCGGGTTGCTTCAGCAGTGATCGAATGAAAGAAACACACATGCACCTACAACACACATGCACTTAAAAAGAGTTTGCATCCGCCGTGCTACTTGGCTTGTACTATCTGGACTTGGTTGTTGAGCTATGTCTTTTGAACAAAGCCTCTGAGCTTTGTTTGCTCATAGTGCATGCAAATTGCTATTGTTGTGGGCGTTCGGCAACCTGAGTCTCAGTGTAGCTCCTTTCAACTAGAAGGGCTGACAAATGACCCATGCTCAGAAAATAAGTTCACCTCCTCATCGGATGCACTCCACAGTCATGCACCCAACCAACCATAAGGGCATTGCCGTCTGCAACCACCTGGAGATCGCCGGCCTGCGCATCCTCTGCCATGACAAAAGTTAGGTCCTGCATGCATCCCTCTAGAGCCATCCGAGTAACTAACCGCAAGCTTGTATGCAAGCATTAAGCAGCTCTGTTTCCCTGCTGGCCGATCAAAGATTAGTTCGAGCAACAATTGCACCACACAAGACTTCCAACGGCATCTCATGTCCCTTCTTCAGTTGTCTGTAACTCTGTAAACCCTGACCCCGCTTCCAAGCCCGACCTCCACTGCGGTTGGGCAGTTGGGCCAAAAGGGAAAAATGTCATTTCAGCTTGAGCTCAGCTATCACACTGACTGCATGGCGTTCATGCTCCTATGGCATGCTTCACATGGCAGCTAGGTGACCTCGCAAGGCTCGCAAGGCTTTTTTGGTGAAACAAAGCACGTGTTTTGTGCTGTGGATGGTGAGGGCTTGACCAAACAAAGGCTGGATTCCGTCTCCAGGCTGTACACTGCTCCTGGTGGACTGGAAACGCAGCTAGTAAAATTTAAGGCAAACGTATGAGTGCACAAAACCAACCAATTCGAGTGCTACCCAATTCGAGCCGCAAGGAAACTCACTGGACTGCCCCAGGTGGCCAGGTGAGGTTGCTTATGCCTGCCAGGAGTCATCGGCTCCCTTCCTATCTCGCCAGCAATCCGCCTCAAGATATCCACCTCGCCGTGCCATCAAATGCCGGAAGACCTCGCCAAAAGCATCTCAGCTGCCAGCTTGCATTTGACATAACCATTTTGTGCATGCCAGACTTTCCATGGCTTGTTTCAGGCGGCCTCTGCTGCAAGTGCTTCCTGATTCTTGTCAGGATGCCATTTCAGAATCAATGCCTGCGCAGGTGGTATGTTCTGTGGTGGTGCGCACTAGCCTGAATTCGGGCAACTGAATCCTTTGCTCATGTCTGGCCTTGAAAATCCGGCGGCGGCTTTCCAAATCCTCAAGGTGCTGAACGTATTACACAGTCATAGCGCCCAGCTGCATGTGTGGCGACCTTCTACCAAGCTCCATACAGAGTCAATCACGTGTCTTTAGCGACAAGCCAAATATGCTGAATTCACAGAATCCACATTTCATCTCAGCACCCTGCCTTGGATTGTGATTGATCCAGCTCGTAGTCAACTTGCGCGATCAGATCAGCTGCCTTGTAAACTAAAAAGCTGCTTCTCTCGTGGGGCTCAATATTCAGCGTGCCACGGACATGACTGCATTGACTAGCAAGGCAACGAGAAACAACCTCCTGCTTGAGCTTTGCACTTCCGGCGCTGCAGCTGTGTCCGCAGCAACCTGAATCAAGTCCGAATGCCAGGCACGCAAGCTACAATATGCCAATGATCCAAGATACCTTACCGCCAACATCGTCAACACACACCAAACTTGGAGGATGACCCGAGGATTTGCCCGTGGGCCCTCTCCTCAGCATGAGCAGGCCACAATGAAGGAGACTCATTGAAGTGATCCATGTCTACTTGACTCGACGTGGAACAGGTCCAGCAGGCTGAGCTTGTCGCTGGTTCCCGCACTGCTCTTTGTGCCACCACGACTGGCAAGCAGATCAAAGCAGTCGTATCAGCTCACGCATGCAGCACGATCACAGAAACACGCAGCCCCCTCCTGGGCCCTTTGGCATCGCCGTCGTGACCACGAGATTGGGACTCCTCGCTTTGTATGACAGGTGTGACGCGCGGTTCAGTTGGCGTATTGACCCAGTCCGCCCAGTTGGTCTAGTTGGGCCAGGTAAGCCAACTGGACAACTGGCAACAAATTGCTGTTACTGTAAGGAGTGCTCAATGGCTAACTTTGGAGCACTGAAGGGCTCACTTCCTGTTGTGCAAACACTTGGAAGACCAATAGATGTGGGGCCTACAATTACAATGCCTCATTCTAGTGACCATTCAACAAACTGCCTGCTTGCGACATGATGCTGACATGCCACGCTTCAGGATCGATCAACAATATGCTATGTACATCTGACATACTGACCAGGAACTTCCGAAATTCCGAAATGAGAAGCCACGTAGATGTGAGCGGGCTCTGAATGGTGGAAATCCGAGCACTTGAAATAACTTGAGAGACCTCTTGATCTTGTGCTCTGTTTTAGCTGCACCTTGTGTCTGGTACTAGCTTGAAGCCGGACATAGATAACAGCGAGGTGCTAGACGCCTGCGAGGCTGGAGTGGTGAAGCAAAGCACCACTGCTGGTGTTGCCTTTCTGTTGCGGGTGCTCGCAAAAAGCATTGCCATGGGTAGCACAAGGATAGGATTCCAAAAGGCCTTTCAAAGTGCCTGCCATATTAATTCAGTGCCGAACCTTTTAATTAATCCATATTAGCATAGCAAACATTTAGCATTCCTTAACAGCAATTTGTCGCCAGGCCCAGTTCACCGAGTTGACTGATCCCGGTTTAGTTCAAGCAAGGTTCCATAGGGTCAACTGGCTTCAGCTCCGTACTGGGAAATTCAGAACCCCTTAGGCCGCAATGTGTGATTCAAGCATCGTACTGTAGACACCTTGCAGCAGGCATAGACGATGCAGAAGCACAATGCAGCAAGCACACTCCTTGCCACCTTGAGACTGGCCTCAGCTTTGACAAAATGCAATTGCATGCAAGCCAGACCCAAGTGTCGATGCAAATTCCTAGCTGTAAACGGAGGTGTACTTGGGCATGTTCACTCCGGCTCAAAGGAAGCTTTGCCACAGGGTTTGTGTAGCGGGGATTAAACTGAAAGAACTGAAAGCAGTAAACAACAAAACATTTCGGCAGTTGATGGAACTGAAAGATGAAAGCGTGTCCCTGGCCTCCAGAAGTCCTTCCCTGGGTCCGCGTTGCAACATGCGATAGGGAATTTCTGCATGGCGGTGCGTCCAAAAACTGTCCTCCTCAGGTGAGGTTCCTTGCTTGCTGCCCTCTCCTATCAGCATGTTCAGGAGCATAAGCAGTCTTAATATTAAGGCTAAACGCATCTGCCCTTCGGTTGCAAGATCAGTCTTTTGCAGATCAGAAAGGAGCGAGCATTGAAAAATAGACCACGACGAATGTGCAACCCGCCTTCTTCGTTGGCCTGCCATTTTAACGATTTTAATACCAATGATAATATCAGACAGAAGCGTGAAAGGTGATGCAATGCTGCGCTTCTGTAAGCGTGGCAAGCCACCTGCCCGGGAATGTTCGATGCTGAAGGACCACCCTTGGAAGCACAATGTCACCCACAAATGACGACTGTTTTACGTTGCATTACCTTTCATTGCAGAATACGTGGCATACCACGACAGGACATGACGTGGGTGCGTCTTACAATAGGGGAACCCCAAAACGGTTGTTTGTCTTTGGTTTCCAATCCTCAAAAGACAGACACGCCCACACCACGTATTTAGTTGTGATGCCATGCAATGCGCGTAAGCATCGTGCCAAACAGAATCATGCCATACATTGATACAGCAGGCTTGGGCGCAAACACCGCCGAAGCTGTTGATGTCCGGCGCATCTTTTCCTCCCAACCAATCGGAGCAACATGGTGCTCAGCATCTTAGTATTTTGCAATTGGGCCTCAAGTGCGCAGAATGTTGGTCCAGCCAGCGCGTGCAAAAACAGTTGCGCTGCCTATGCTCCCGGGTTACCCAATCAATCGGTCGCACGTTGTCCTGCTCGGCGATTCCGCCGCGCAGCAGCCGCATAGCCTGGCGGCAGCGTCCTGGCTATGATCATGTTCATCAGGGAGGCAGTTCCGGTACCAACACGTTTGTCAGGCGATGTCAGATAGCATTTACCTTCATTTGCGCATGCCCATCTAACAACCATCTTAGCTGCAAGCACAGGCGGCATCAATGTACCTACCAGCTTGATCCAGCTTGGTTCACAGCGGGCAGCCTTGCATTACAGTGCAAGCAGTGTAGCAGAACTACTGTATAAGAAATTGAGGGGCAGAGTTTCCCAATCAAGCAGGTTGCAACTGCATATGCTGCCGCTACAACAGCTCACCTTGGTGTGGGGCCTTGGATTTCTTACCGGCCTTTTCGGCGATGAAGGACCCCTTTGCTAAGAACTTCAGGGGCTGGATTGCTTAGCGGCCTTTGCGGGCGATGAAGGACTCCTTTGCCAAGAAATTCAAGGGCTCAGCTTCGGGGTGATGAAAGACTTTGCTAAGAAATTCAGGAATTCATTCCCCTAAATGAAGACAAGGTTAAGAATTGGCTAAGACATCCAGCCCTGGCTCCAGAGGGGTAGAAACCAGCTCTTATCAAGACGAAATGGACGATAAGAGATTCAGTCCCCCTGGGCCTCGACCAATCGATTTCTTGTACTGCGCTCGCACTGTAATGTCGCTCACTTTGAACTCACTACAAGCATATCCCAGAACAATGCGGCGATGCGAGTTCGGCATCGGCATCCCATGCCGCTGGCCCTACTGTGAGCAAAACACGTCGATTGTAGGAACGGGCTCACTTTGGTCTGCTGCTGGACATTCTGCGGAGCATCATACTTAGCTGGCGCTGCTGTCGAAGCTCGTGGGGGGCTGGCCTCTGACCGAAGGCAACTCTGAGCATCGCGTCATCACCTGCACCGGTGTCAAAAACACGGGAAGCTACACGTTAGGCAGGTCGCCTTGGGCTTGAGCTGAAAACGGGTCGACTGTCTCTCTCTGTATCTCATTGTAGGAGCTGCTCGGCTGGTTCGAGGCGCGGAAGGCAGCCAAATGAGGAAATAGCGAGCAGCACTGCGCAGTCAGCGTCTTGCCTTGCGACTGCGTTGCGCGCACATGCTCCTCTTTCCCTGCACAGCTGCAGGCTTTTGCCGTGCGGCGGCTGGACCCGAAAACCAATGACATCAATGACCCAATGATCAGCGAATCCAGAGCAGAACCTGGAGGGCTGGACAACTGTCCTTGCACTTGCTGTGAAGCTTTCTCTGGTCAGAAATTCTGAAATTATGGCACAAATTAACTAATGCTGCACGCTGATTCTTGAACAGCACTGCTGCACAATCAGCGAACAAAGGCCCAAACCCAGCAGGTCTATATAGTCCCATACACTCTTGATGCATCTCTTTGAGATGTCAATTGTTTTGTTTGACAGACGCAACCCTGTGTTTGTGGGACACCGGGGGCCGATTCTCACAAACATGCTGCACGTCGTGAGCATGCGTGAGCACGAGCTAAAAGGGCAGGCGCATGCCCATGCCCATCCATTCCGGCCAGAGGACGAGACGCCTAGTGTTTCTCTAACCTGAAAGGAATTTGATGGAGCCAGGGCTGTAAGCTACACAATCGCTGCCGTATGGCCAGCATAGCATCACCCGCAGAAGCCAATGTGCTCTGCTCGGCCACGTTAGGACTTCGGCCATAATTCAAGGTTCATGTTCTGCAGCCAAGCCTTATGGGGCAGGCATCTCACTCTACAGGCGAGGACAAACATCATGAGTATGCGCTTGCGAAAGGCCTCTCTAGTAAAACAGGTGAGTTTTCGCAGAACCAGACTGTCAGCGGAGATTGTGTCACCGAGAGATTGCGCCAAGAGATCCCGCAAAGATACGGCACGGAGAGGTTGCGAAAGGGAACGGACCAAAAGACTGCGCCGCAAGTTTGCACGGAAGACAACATCGCAGAGAGATTGCACCCACAAACATTGAGCCCAACGCGCAAGTTCCTCAAAAACTGGTTCAACATTTGCTCTTCCTCCCTCTCCCCTTGCTATGTTGTATCTAAAAATTGCGGCGATCAGTCCCTGACGGCGCTGTTGGACTGGGACGCTCATCGTGACGTTGATGGTGTTCATGATGCTCTGGCTCAAACCTTGCTCAACACTCTATCGCAAACGTAGGTGCAGCACAATTCAACAGCAACAGCTTCTCTTTTTTTTTTTCGGGGGGGGGGTCGACGGGTCTCCTGAGGCAGCTGCTTCTTTGAATCAGTTTCCGGAGCTTGCCTCACTTAGCAAGGAGCGTCTGCTCAAGCAATGCAGCCTAAGGCTGCTCAATCACGTAGATGCGAGGCAACCAAGTACGCACCTTCTGTGTCTGCTCGGGCTGGAATGAGCCTAAGCTTCTGTTGCAATCTTCACAGCATCCCGAAAACTGCTTTCGGCAGCCCTCCGGCCTACCCACCCAACAATCAGCGGGATCTACAGGATTTATTGCCATTGTGAAAGACCTGAAAAAGTTTCAGGGTGTCATAAAACATGTGCTCCAGTCACATCCCAACAGCAGCCGCTCTGGATCCAGAGCTCGGCTCCTCTCCTTCTCTCAGATACCCAGAGCGCAAACGCGCACCCTCTTTTTGCACAGGCTCTGACGTGGGTGAGTAAGCCTGAACAGGGATCGCGGTCAGTTCTGCACCTGTCCAATGAGCAATCACGACAGATTCACGACCAGGCACGACACCAAAGAGTGGATCACACTAGTTGGTGAATGAAACTGAAAGGCCTGTCACAATCGGGTCCGTCACCAGCCGAACAGGAAATCAAGCAGAGCTAAACCACCAGCTACTCCCCTCGGGCCCAGATCTGCGGACCGCCCGCCCAGAACAAGATCACTGGAAGGCAACGGTGCGATCGCACCTATTGCTCATAAGGCCAGGAACTGGACAGATGCAGCAATGGTCTCTGATACCGCTGCAGAAACATCCGATGCAATGAAACCGACGCCGCAGCGAACGCAAATGCAGACATTGGCGAACGAATCGGGCCCATCGGTCCACCAGCAGCACGAAATCGACGGCTGCATACTTGCCCTAGAGCGGGCCACAGCGCTCCGCTCAGGCAATCAATCAAATCTTTGGCAGGGAAGATCTCCCCTTTTTCGCCCAAAATGGCATCGGAACAAACATGCTATTCAAAGTGCTTGATCAAGTCACGCAATCGAGTTCAAGGGGGGGGCAAGCACCCCAAACAAAACGAGGGAACCAAAACAAAGGGAACCAGAGAAAAGGGGGGAACCGTTGCGAGGGAGACTGACCTCCATGTCCCTACCAACCAGGCCAAAGACATGAGACCCAGTCACATCCCAACACAAGCCGCTCTGGATCCAGAGCTCGGCTCCCCTCCTTCTCTCAGATACCCGGAGCGCAAACGCGCACCCTCTTTTTGCACAGGCTCTGACGTGGGTGAGTAAGCCTGAACAGGGATCACGGTCAGTTCTGCACCTCAGAACAGATTCACGACCAGGCACGACACCAAAGAGTGGATCACACTAGTTGGTGAATGAAACTGAAAGGCCTGTCACAATCGGGTCCGTCACCAGCCCACTGAACAGGAAATCAAGCAGAGCTAAACCACCAGCTGCTCCCCAAGCCCACCCAGAGAAACAACAACAGGCGACCGGGGCTCAACGGTTATCCAACCGGCCCGGTTACCCGTCTCCAGATCATTCCTGGAGGGAAAATCCGACGGGTTCATATCCGTGGGAACTCGATCGAGGTAAATGTTCACTCGCAACTTCAGCGAGATCTGCCAAAACACTCCTACTAATTCACAGACATCATCCTTTGCAGAGTAGCCCTTGATTAAAGCGCCTTGAACTGGTTCGGAATCCACAAACCAGAGAGCGAACTTGTCCTTTAGTGACTCCGCGAACGTTTCCAAGGCGACCACAACTGCTAGCAACTCAACCATGGCGATCTGGTGTTTCCTTGGGATCCAGCGGCTGATGACATCGTCAGGTACCTCGGCCGTGAACTGCACAGGGGGGGATGCCTGTGAACGCACTCCACCAATCCGAGGCGGTTCCAGGGCGCCCTGATGGGGCGCTTCCATATGTGAAAATAACGAAATCGGGCGGCCTTGGTCGAACCTGGTCTATTGGCCGTGGGGGACCTTGCACGATCAACCACTTCCACGCTTCAAGGCGAAGATCAAGGCCTTGCTCAGACCCGCAGGATCCTTGCGTGAAGTCGGCGAGCGCCCTGAAGTACGCCCGTCCGACCTTGCCCCACAGCTGGGAAGCCCCAAACATGAGCTTGCCACGGAGTTTCCCTGCGTGTCCTGGAGCAAGGACCTGAGACGACAAGATGGCGTTGATCTCATCAAGCAGCTCGTCCTTGCGGTCTTGCTTGATCTTCAAAATGAGGCCCTCAAGATCGTAAGTGACCCCTAAGATCACCGGCTGCCCAGAGAACTGCAGCTTCTCTTGATCGAAGCGAGCGCCCAACCAGCAGTGTACCTTCTGGACCAGCAGAAAGGCGGACTCGATTGTCTCCGCCCCTTCAAAACCAAACTTGTCGTCGTAGAAATTGAAAGCCAAAATTCCGAAGAGGCCCCGGAGCACGTCCGTGATCAAAGCTGAGCGTCTATTGTAATTATAGACTGCCGACACCAGCCCGAAAGAGTGGCCGATCATCACGAAGAAACCAACCCGCTCCGACGCAGGGTCTTTCAGCACGATCACACTAAATTTTTGATGCTCAGGCCTGATCGGAATTTGCCTGTAGGCCCTTCTCTCATCGAGAACCCAGGCGCCGAGCGGCCCACAGACCTTCTGTCTCAACATGCGAATGACCGCCACATTGGAGTCCGTGGACGGGAGCGAGGTTGATCCCGTTGATCGTGGCCGAGTCGCAACCCGCCCTCACCTTATTCTTCTGGATCACTTCGAACCTCTGCGTCGGGATCCAGTCACGGCAACTGACCACTCTGTCCACTTCCTCATAGGCGAAGAACGGGCCCAAGGCCGAGCCCTCCTCGACATCCTTCAGTGAGGCTTTCCAGACCTCGGCAGAGTGAACAGTGATCTCGGTCTTCCCGATGTTGCTCATTACTTTTGCGCGGAACTCCCAGACCCTCTGCTCCAATTGATCAACTGTCAGCAACAAGGGCTGCGGCTTGTTGAAGGACGGCCAGCGACCGGACCTGGCAATCGGGCCGACGATCGGCAGCCCGGCCAGGATCTCATCCGGCAAGCTGGCGTCCGCAGCCCCACTGAGACCATTTCCCGCCACAGGCAGATGTGGAAAAAGGAGCCCATCTGCACTGGCTCATCAGGAACTCCTCGCAGCAGCTGCCGCAGCGGGCGGTCTGGAATATGGGACAGGATCTGGTCCGAACAGGGAACCAGCTGCAACGCGCGGTGCCCCCAATGAGCCCAGATCGGCTCGCTGCGCTTGAACCGCTGCAGGGGGACTACCGCAGTGATTTCTGGCTCCACGGAGGCCAACACCGTGAAGGGGTGAGTGATGTCGAGCGCTGTCAGCATGGCATCCCCTGGGTCGAGCCTCCTCGGTGAACAACGGCGGCAAGCCCGCCCTCTTCAGCTGCAAACCCGAGCAGTGGCGACCTGCCGGTGTTCAGCCCAGTGGATCAGCTGCCCCAAGGGGCGCTTGCGCTTGTGATCCGGCACCTTGATCAGCCGGGTCAGCTCTTGCCACGGCGCCGGGCCTGCCCAGAGCCGGGCCCACTGCTCACAAAGTTGCAATCCCAGCGACCGCGAAATCTTGCCAACGAGGGGGTCGTGCAAGTGGGAACCATTTCTCGGGCACCGCCGAGCCAACTGCACGAAGCTCTTCACAGAAGTCCAAAGTTGGGTCGGCTTGAGATGGGCCGAGCCGAACTGGCACATGTCCAAAAGAACTTCGGAGACATCCAACTCGCCCCGCAAGGCCAACATATCCGGCATGAGCCATAGGAACTACGAGGCCGGATTCTCAATGGACCAGTCAACGTGGAACCGGGCGGCATGCCGAATCACCTGCACGGACTTCTGGAGCAACAGGTTGCCCAAAAGGACCTTTGTCTGGTCCACCGCCGACAAGCCGGGGAGTCCAGTTGGCGAACTTTGCGATCGCAACGGCGGCGGGCCCCCATCATCTTTACGAGCTACACTGAATGAAGAACAAGGCGTGCCCAAATGAACATAGAAAGTGCCCACCTCGATCCATTGCAGGAGCTTGCCAAAGAAATCCGCGTTCAAACTATCACTAGCCTCAGTGACCAGGCCATCGACGACGAGGTCCACTGGCGGCAAAACCAAAGACCCTTGATCCAGAAAGGCCTGCGTGAGGTTGCCTGTCCCCGAGAAGATCTCCAACATGAAGGGTCGAGGACCTGTCGGCGCCACTCCCGCCCACAACGACCAGCGTAGCTCTTGGGGATGATCAACCCCCGCGTTTCAGTGATTGCCGGTCATAGGGTGACCACTGCCGCACACCAAGCACTTGTGAGCAAACCGGCACTTGGCACCCAAGGAGCACCCCATGGACGAGTTGTAGTAATGACATCGCTTGCCACCCTTGATCTTGGCTGCAGCGTCGATGATCTGCCTCCACTCTGCCTCTGGGATGCGCTTGTCCTTGTCGACTTTAGCGAGCTCAGCGGCCGGTCGCTTGGTGGCCGGCGAAGAGCCAATGCCTGCTTTTTGTTGGCTTCCTTGGCTCGCTCCTTCTGGCGCTTGCGCTTCTGCGCACGCGGTGAGGCACCGGTCGGGGCTTCCAGCACACGATCAGGCGCTGCGCCCTGCGACCTGGCCTTGTCCGCATGGGCGGCGATCGCCTTGGCCCGGGCATCATTCCACAAGTATTTGTGGCGCCGAAGGACCTCAAGCATGGCCAGCGAGAAGCTGGGGAACTCCACCCGTTTCTCCGATTGCAACCGATAGACCTTCTTGCGAATGGCTGTGTCGGCCGCCAGCACAAAGGGAAGACCCGGGCACTCGATGCGGAACTGCTCGAGCTCCTGCAGGTACTGAAGGGCGCCTGCCTTCACAGAGTACTCACAGACGTTGAGGAACTCCAGCGACATGACGAACGCGTGCAACCGATGGAACACATGACTCATGTCTGTGACCTGGTCGGGCTCGTCAGCCTTGGAGATTATCAACAAGTCCTCTGCGTTGCGCGTCAGACCTGATCTCTGCACGATCGTGTCGGCCCGAGTGCGGATCTCCGCCAACTCATAGAAGGGCACCATTCCATGCGCCAGAAAATCACGATTCAAGCGTTCCACAAATTTGCGGTGTGGCTCCCGCGCATCGATCAAGATGACGTCGGGGTGGGCGTCCACAAAGCGAGCACGGAAGTCAGCGTGATCTTCTTGTGGCATTTCGGGAACCT